GAACCTCAGATCTTACTATCTCGTTTCTACAACATTAATTTCGTTGTGATGTGTCTGTGAAATAAATAGTACTGTAGTAAAATCAAAGGTTATGTTTGATTATGGCATCTGGTACAAATAACATGAGGAACTGTAGACAGACAGTGGGCAAACGTACATGTAAATAAACGCTAATTGCAATTCTAACAGCCTCAGTGTGCTTGAAATGAAACAGTAAACTTTGAATTTGATTTTAGTTTTATCTTACAGGAACATTAAGGATTTTATTATAATCTAACTACCCCTCTCACAGCACAAGGATGGCCGCCTATAATAATCCGTGGCGTAACAGCCCTCCGAGAGCTAAAGATTAGACACAAAAACGTTGTGGCAAGACTGCATTGCTAACTCTGCCGCTAGTTAATCGATCTTCACGCGTTCGTTACTAAGGCCGTGGCTTTATAATGCCTTCGAGTGGTTGCCAATAATTCTGAAGGTTTGTCGTGCTTTGTTACATAGTTTCCAACACTGTAAATTCATTCTGTCTGTGAGCAAACTTTACGGTGCGAGATCGCATTAACCTCATCAGTTAATAGATAAAGGGGTTGGAGGATTCTCTGCTATTTTTTTAAACTGAAAGCCAATTACTCGTGTTCATTATATTTCTCCAGTCCGGACTTAGTTAAACGTAATTCAATCATCATATCTTGTTTTAATTGTACTTTAATATGGTCCTTCCATGTAAGTTTAGTGTCTCAAGAATCATCAGCGTTGCAGTTTTCCAATCAAAATGTTACATGCGTTTTCTGATCTTTGCTTTGTGGTTTAACCATTTTTTGTGGTTACTACAATAGTGAAAATGTACAGTATGTAGTTTATTAAATTTCTTGTTTCTTCAACTTCGTTGGGTTTCTGTCCCTGAATTGCGCTTATCGAACAGATTTACGTAAATCGAAAATATGTTAGCGGACGATTTGAAGGTCGTATAATTATTTATTTATAACACGTACAAAAACGTATGCAATGTAGAACTACACACAGCATTCAAGTTGTTCCACGTGTGGTCACGGAAGTTCGTACATGAGTTTTTCGAATGTGTTATAAATAAATAATTACACGCTCTTGAAATCGTTCGCTATTTTACGGGCACCCGCCTGATACTTTTAAGTCCAAGATCCGTTCATTTCGTGACACTGTGGAATTCTGATTGTAGTTGTGTATGGGAGAACCGTATTGGAACGTACCGATGAAAAAATCTGACGTCTTACTTATGACCTAAATAAGTAATTTTATCTTGTGCACATTTTTATTTAATTTTTGAGTTTTTTTTATACATTTATGTCCCGGATAATGCCTGTGGATTCTACACTCGAAGTTCTCACAAATTTTTGCTTTCATAATATTTAAGCGTTATCACAGTAGTTCTTTGTTAGCTTTAGTTTTTGTATTAAGTTGTGAGTTCTTTGAACAAAGTAATCAAAACTTATCATTGTATTTAATTTAAGTGTGTTATTAGAGTCTGACTACGTGTACACCATAAGTTATCGACCAAATCGAACTTTATCGATTTCCCCAGAAAGAGGTTATCTTGTGACAGTTTAACATAGGTCAGAATGCAGATCATATTAACTTGTTTGAGACATGTTTTAATATGATCACAGCTGAATAAATTACAGCGAAACATAAATGTCATTTGTGCAATGCATTATTTGTAAAAGCAGGTTTATATGCACAATAATTTAATAGCAGACAACGTATTTGCATATTTCATTGGAGCATTTTTTAACTTTGCACGGACTAAGATTTCAGGTTCTTAGGCGGTGAGTACGAAGATGGATGTTTTGTGGGTTGTAGCTCTAGACTCCAAGGCGCTTCAACCCAGAAGACAGCTATCTCAGCGGACTGTTGGTTGTGTACCTTTCCTTCTTCGTTTTCCATTCTGTTTAATATGGATATCGCAGGGAGTTGGGGTAGAAACGTACAAGAAGTCTGAAGGTTTCTAGCGATGGTGTGACATAATACAGGTACTCCTCGATAAATGCGGCAGAGAGTGAAAATACTTTATATATAAATCCATTCTCCTCGAATTCATCTGCAGCCACTCTTTGTCTTTCAATCCCCTTTTCACTCTATCTTTCAGTTCAGTTAAAGCAAAAAAGTGAGTGCTCTTAATTGAAATCGGTCATAATTAGTTTAATTAGTTGATCATGTTGAAGTTAAATCGCATGTTTCGAAGAGGCATAACGAGGAGTGCCTGTGTGTTCTTTTGGTCTTTGTCCATCGTCCTATAGTATAAAATAATAAAACAACGTTTCGGAAGCTGTATTCGGCTTCCGTCTTCAGGTAAAAGAAAAGGAGAGGACAGCAAATCAATCTGGTTTGTTAGTCTCAGACCTGGACCAGGAGCCCAGCACAGATTTTCAACGTTTCTCTTCCTCTCCCACCCCATCACCCAAATACCACCACCACCAGAAGACTTGAGCACAATCCAACTTACGAAACGTTTTGTTGTTATATCAGACGCAAGAGAACAATTTTACCTGTTTTAATTGTAGACGTTAAGAGTAGAAAGTTACTTATCATACATCCTGTAGGGCTTCTGTTACGAACATATGTCGGGAGCTAACAGCGGGGCTTGTGAGATGCCATATGTATGTATGGAGTGGCTCTGTTCCTCGCAGACAGCTCGTGTGATACCTAGAGTAATAATATGACGTCATGCAGCATATACAGGTCACCATATGCACTTCGCGCTTTGTGTAGCCTACATCGCATCGTCGTCATAACAATACGGTCTAAATGATCTCTGAGAAGCTAGTAAACATTCCAGGATTGAAAAAAGGGAATATTTGAGCTTTTATAGTTAGAACAGGACACTATAGAGGATTCTCCAAAAGTGTAAATGAATTTAAGAAGGGTTTCCAACATGGAAGTAATTAAATAGAGCATGAGAATGTTGATCTGCTTGCAGATTCCCAGGTGGAAGAACTACTTCTCTCAAGTGTTGAATGTTCGTAGGTTTAGTCATGTTAGGCAGATGGAAATACCTTTAGTACCTGAGCCTTGTCCTTTTGAGGTTAAAATTGCTATTGCGAAGTTGAAAAGGTATAAATCGCCATGTAGTGATTAAAATTCTGGCAGAAGTGATTCAAGAATAAGGTAAAACATTACGTTATGAAATCCATAAACTCCTTAATTCTATTTGGAATGCGAAAGAATTGCCTCAACAGTGGAAGGAGTCTATTAATGTACCAATTTACAAGAAGGACGATAAAACTGACTGTAATAATTATCGAGACTTATCACATATATCAACTTCATACAACATTTTATCCAACATCCTTCTCTTCAAGGTTACGTCCATACGTAGATGAAATTATTGGGATCATCAGTGAGGGTTTCGACGTAATAGGTCAGCTATTGATCAGATTTTTCTTATTCGTCAGATACTAGAGAAAAATTGGAGTACAATGAGACAGTACACCAGCTATTCATAGATTTCAAGAAAGCCTATGATGCAGTTAGGAGGGAAGTATTGTAAAATATTCTCATTGAGTTTAGAATACCCTCGAACCTATAGTTTGTTGAAAAAGTTGGAACTTGTACACATACAGGCTGCATTCATGGTGATGTTCCTACCGAGTACCAGGAAGTAGTTTCTGTGCGAAGATGATGGCCGTCTTCTTGGTTGGAACCAAGAAGACAGCCAGCCATCTCCGGACTCACCGCCTTGAAAACCTCAAATGCTACCTATGTTTTATGATACTTATTGTGTGTGTGTGCCGTAATATTGTATGAGTGAAAGACGTGTGTATATTTAACGTAAATCGAACCGGATATGTTACCTGCATAATCTAGAAACTTCGTCGTTGTGTAATATCTTACGTTTCCTGTTCCGTTCCGATAATCTGCCTTAGGTATAAATATCTCACTCAAGGTTCTACCCAAAAAAGTGGTACAGTCCGATCAGAATTATCAACAAAAGAAACGCGAATGTCAACATTTTGTTGGTACTTTTGTCACGTGTATTTTTATCTTCGGCTTTTAGTACTCTTTGGCCGTCCTCGGTATGGTCGGCGCTGTATGTTGTTTGTTGTTAGGAGCAAACTTATAATATCGTACAACGATGAGGTTAGTACACACAGAACCGTGCAGGCTAAATCGAAAGTGCTACTGTGGGAAGATGTAGATAGTTCGCTGAACCACTGTGCTCTTGGGATCTCGATCTGAAAGTCGATTATCCAGCAAAAACTTCCTTCGATTGGTAGTCTCAGAATGCAAACACAAGGCGTGGGTTACTTCAAGGTGTTTCCAATTGTATTTCTAGTAGAAGTAATTTGTTAAAGTGATCAGAGGGCCGGCTTTGCGTCGCACTTACATTGAAAATTACTTACATGTAGGCTGTTATACCCAGAGAATTCTCCTTGGATTTCAGTCTCATGAACTTAGCAATCGAGAGGTTCCATATTAAAATCTCGACCCAGAGACTGGCAATCCTGAACGAGGATTTTAATTAGGTATAATCATTGGCCATTGAGCATGTGTGTGCTATCTATATATGGATCCTTTATGTATGTCAGAAAAGATGTCCGGAAGATTATATTTTCACTTCTTTTGCTGCTGATTATATGTAATGACAGCTCAGATTTTGTTAGGCCTAAAGCTCTAAATTGCTTGAACATACGTGTAGTAATATGCAATTGAAGTAACACTGCTATTACTTTCATTTTACATTTATGACCTACCATGTGTAATTTATCATAAATTTAGAAATTTATTAATGTGAAATTTTTTTTTCTAATTTCAAAAAGACATTCTGTGTCGTGTCACCTGACTTAGTGAATTGCACTGTTTAATAGTTTTGGACTAAAGTTATTTTTCTTCAAAGTGTGTATGATTTTTTCTTTAGGTGTTCAATGCCATCAAGTTACTTGACTTTGGGAAATATTGTCCTAAGAAACTTTTTAAGTCTGTGCATGCATCGTGCTATTAATTTTGTTAATTTTATGTTTTCTTTCCAGAACGAAAATTGTTTGTGGGGATGTTGTCGAAGAAGTGCACGGAGAATGATGTGAGGGTGATGTTTGGTCCTTTTGGCACAATAGAGGAGTGTACAGTGCTGAGGGACACTAATGGACAGAGTAAAGGTGGGTTGTTTAACACTGGTTAAATTAAGTGCACACTTTCAGGAACCTTCCGAACAATGAATTTTTGATTTTAGCTAACTTTTGCACAAATCTGTTCAAAACTGGCTTTCCTGATTATTTTTAAGGTTAGTGAAGCCCTAAGAAGAATCCTAAGGAGGAATTTGTAGAAGTAGTTTGTGTCTTTAACTGCTTTCCTTAATATGGTGTGACTATATTTGACGTTTAATAAAAAAATGCATTTTAAGGTTCCATTCCCACTAATTTTGGCACACTACTCCAAATATTTGTATTAACGCTATTGTTATGGTTTAGCGGTTCAACATGCGTCTGTTTCTTAGTGTACCCATATTTGGCAAATTCATCTTTTCCATGGAGCAGAATCTTTTGTGATAAGGTTACTCAACTAGTTGAGAAATTACTCGCCATTTATGGACTCTGAAGGGAAATTTCTGTGTTCACGATGCTGTTTTGTGTCCGGCGAATTCCATCCACACCCAAAGACCATATTTCTTGGAAGATCCATTTTAATGCCCTTGAATCTGTGCTTAAATGTTCCAAGTGGTCCCTTCCCGTGTGGTTTTATTTGTATACACTTCTAAATGTTTCCTTACATGCTACATGCCTTGCCTACCATGTCCTTCTTGATTTCATATTTTATTTAACAACAAAATGTCAAATGCTTAGGCTTTGGAGAAGTTTGATAATGAATGAGGGGTTTGGAAGTAATGAGCGTATTTTAAGGTAGTAAATATCCCAGAATTTTCTTAGGGGAACTAAGGAAAACCACAAAAACCTCACTTTTTCTCTGGAACATGAATCAAATCTAGAACACTGGTCCAATTACGTGGCTGCCCCAATTATGCGAAGTTCCACGTAAAGAGTTAAAAAAGGTTTGTTCTTTAAGATTTTTCCCAAATAAATGGCTGCCCCGATTAACTGATGACCCACTTAAGCAGAATCTACTGTATTTGGTTAATTTATTCTTAAGATATTTAATGATTCCTTTTCTGGTGCAATGCTGACCTAAATGAAATACATTAATGATTTGTGAGCAGGTAAAGATGTCATAATAATCTGTTTTAGTGTACTGTCCTAATAGTTATGTGGAGAGTCTGAGTAAACCCACAGAATATCTCATGTTAGCCGGGGCAACATTCAAATCAGCAGGTACCTTTCAAGTAAAAGTCTTTGGTCTATCAGCTTCATCATGCTACTCGCTTTTGATTTGTTATTCAGCACAACTCTACAGCAATGGACTAATTGTGTTATGTTTTATACGTACATAACAAAAATGAAATCTCCAAAGTCAGAAGTTAATGCCCATACTGTAGTGGTTTTTTTCCTTATTCTTTTTTCCGGTTTAACAATGTTTGTACATTTTCCGGTACCCTTTACGAGTTCCCAACTTTTTAGTTGGCATGATCTATGGACATTCGGTAGGACTCCTTGGACGAGGGATCGGCCCGTCACAAGGCCTCTACCTATTTACACGACAGCACAACACAGAAAAACATCCATGGCTTGAGTGGGATTCGAACCCACGGTCCCAGCGACCAAGCGGCACAAGGCCCACGCCTCAGACCGCGCGGCCACTGCGGACCCCTGAACTGTTTTTTTTAAATTAATGTAAAGCCTTCCCTTAGAGAACGCAGCTGTGTGTTTACATATATTTATTCACTCACACACAAGATCATTGAATTAATTTACATGATATATCACCAGATTTGGCTGGAAAATGGTGCTTTATCAGTTCATCTTATTTCAATTTGACTTTCATTGACTTCATGATAAATTTAATTATCTTTTAAGTGAAAGGAATATTAGTCTGCATGTGTAATAGAAAAGGTGCATTTCAGAATTACATATTCCATAAATGATGTATGACAGCTTAACAACTAGAGCCTCATGAATCTTCTTTGTTTGAGAAACAAGTGGGGAGCTGAATGCACGTGATGATGAAAGCATTTATTTTGTTGGTGATAGTGATTTATTAGGGGTCATGTCTCTTACTTCACAGTCATTCAGAACATAAATGGGAGGTCATTTGTAGGGGAAATGCTGCATGTATTATCTGGACAGATGGAGCTATAGGTTGACCAATATTTCATGACAGTTTGACATGAGAAAGCCAGTAATGTTTATCCACTCTTAACACTCTGCCCCTTTTGGAATTCCAGAAATCCTCAGTGGGTCAGGGCATGAGTGTTTGAATTATTTAATGTGAAATAAAATATTACGTAACTTAAATATAAAATTCCTGAACTTCTCCTCTGCTAGTTGTACAGGAATTCTACATTGTGTCCAGTTGGTCATAATTGCCATTTAATAACTATTATTGGATTTTAGTTGGTTGGTTATACATTTATTTAACATTTTTGCAATGGCATACATTGTATACCATTGTACAGAAATAAAGTCTTCACATCCTCACCCCATATATATATATATATATATGCATATATAATAGTTTTTAAATATTTTTCTTTAGATTTTTCTCTTATTTTATTACAGATTAATTCATTATAACATTAAATAATATTGATTGTAATGCACTTCACATCTGCCTTCAATTCTGGTATCAAACCATCTCTTCTTTGCCTAAACACAGTTTTTGTGAAACAAGGGCACTTTAATCCTTATACTACAGGGCTCGTAATTAAAAAGTAAAGTAAAGCTGTCCCACTATATGCCATGTAGGCGCTTGGGGGGAGTGGAGGTATAGCTCCTACTATTTCTTGACCTCGACACTGGATGGGGGTGTAGGGCTCGTAACTAGATTTTATAATTCTGGATGGGAGGTTAGAGTGGTTGTGGTATACTCCTGCAGCACATGGTCAGTGGATCACCCATAAGCCGTGACATTCAACCGATGTAGGTTAATGTGTGTTAAGGAATGTAAAATTTTGAAAATATTTACCTGTTCCCTATTATAACTTAACTCATGGAATAGAGTCTTCATTAAGAATTTTATAATAGTGGGTTAAGAAATTCCCAGCCTTTTATATGATCTGAAACTTATTTACCATGTTTGCAAGAAACCACCACTGAACCCAGTCCATATCAGTTGAATCCATTTCATGTGCACACATTTATTTCCTATGATCCACTTTAATATTATCCTTTCTACACAAAAGTGTCTCAAGTAGTAGGTTCTCTTCAGATTTTCCAACTAAAATTTTGTATGCTATGGCATTTTCTGTGTCATCCTCTCCCTTGGAGCCACATAATCTCAGCACTTCATTCTCAAATACAGTGGATTCCAGTTGATTGGGACACATCAGGACTAGAACACTTTGTCCCAATTAAAGGGCTGCCCCAATTATGCGAACTTCCACGTAAAGAGTTAATAAAAAGGTTTGTTCTTTAAGATTTGACCCAAATAAACGGCTGCCCGATTAACCGATTGCCAAATTAACCGGCATCTGCTGTATTTAAGATTTGTGTTCTTCTTTAAGGTTGAGAGACGGAGTTTTACATGCATATGAACAGAAGATAAAATTATAGTTTTTATACTTTAGTCTTTAGATTGTGGGGTCCACAGTGGCCGCACGGTCTGAGGCGTGGGCCTTGTGCCGCTTGGTCGCGGGGACTGTGGGTTCGAATCACACTCAAGCCATGGATGTTTTTCTGTGTTGTGCTGTCCTGTAAATAGGTAGAGGCCTTGCGATGGGCCGATCCCTTGTCCAAGGATTCCTACCAAAATGTCTATAGATCAAGCCAACTAAAAAGATGGGGACCCGTAAAGGGTACCGGAAAATGTACAAACATTGTTTAACCGGAAAAAAAAATAAGTCTTTAGATTGTGAACTAAGCAATAGCAGGCTTAACCAAAGTATATTCTGTTCTTTAAATTCTTTGTGACTGTAATTTGTATTTGTTGCTGCTGTTCCCAAACATTTGAACTTCACCACACTTTCAGAGGATTTATTAATTTCCTGTATGTTATGATTTTGTATTGTGTTTTTGAGTGGAGCATGAATATGCTCCGACAAGAGTCGTAATTATGTTTATTCTGTTTGGCAGGCTGTGCTTTTGTTACCTACACATCTAAACAGTGTGCCATAAATGCAATCAAGAACATGCACCATTCACAAACAATGGAGGTAAGATTTTTCTCTTTATGTATTGCTGTGTTAAGTAAAGGAAATTATTAAATTTATTCCATTATTACTGTTAGATTTTGTGCTGTCCAAGCTAATACACTAGTCTGATTTATGTTGTGGATGCTTTATTAGAAGTACCTGTATGTATAGAAATGATATGTATGGGAAACGATTCACATATTCTTGGCTACATTTTAATTGTTATAATGAGACAGGGATAATTAAAATTTATTTGCAAAATATGCAAGTTTGAATGGTATAAAGAAGGGACTACATTTATTCCTTTATCTCAGCGCTATATCATGCCATGAGTTTTAGTTACGTGGACCCGCTGTTGTGATTAAGACCAATATAAAAGATATTTATTTATATTGCATGCATAGTTAATTAATATACATGAATTTAATATCGAACTAACTCAAATGTGGCAACAGAGTTTTGAATAATGTTTTCTACATTCCATTATCTGAAGCCTCAAACTTCTTTATATAGGTTTATAATAGAGTTTAATATGCAGTTTGATCCATATTCATCCAGTTGTCACAGATTTCATCATTAATATGCTTCTTAACATGTATTTCAGTTCATCCATTCTTCATTTACAGTTCATGTAATACTGAAAGGTTTTAATGTTGGCATGTTGCATTTAGTATTGTTGTGTTTCTGGAGTAAGTTTTAAAAAATGAAACTTGATTTTAACATACTAAATGATGAATTTAGTTTGGGAAAACAGCAATATTGATTAATTTAACAGCGTGGCTTTTTCACATTTTTGTGTAAATTGCATTCCAATTAGACCAGTACATCGGTTGAAACTGCCTGCCCTATGGTAAAGTCTGTGAGTGTAAGGAACTTCACGCACCTCATTTGATTCCGCACTGTTATATAATTGGTACTAGATAACAAGGGTTTCTTTCTATAGGACTTAAGTTTGAATAAAACCTGTCTTGCCAGGCACCAAAGGTAGTCTGTAGAGGGTGAACATGCAGATGTGCATGAGTTTAAGCATCATAAAATTGATTCCTTATGGTTGAGTTTAATCTGTATATTTTCTCTAAACAAGATAGAATTTGCAATTGTGTTTCTAAATGTTTGTGTCTGTTTTTGTACTGGCAGTAAAACATAAAGGCACCAGCATCTGATATTACAGTATTAGATGCCAATGCCTTTATGTTTGTGAGCAGTGATAATTATAACTTTTTTACCCCAGAACTACTTTTTAATGAAAACTGTCATTTATAAGCCAGAATGTTCTACCAAATATGAAATAAACATCGAAATTTGACATATGATTTGCTACTTGCTTATTAGTTGAATTATTAAAAGTAATTTTGCATTAAGATTATAATCAAGGTCATATTTAATTGCTTAGAGTATCAGGTGTATTAAAAGATGAAGAAAATATAAGTGAATGGTTGGCAAAATAAACAGACCCTATAAAAATAAAACTTTTAGGAGTATTTAAATCTGTGTGAGAGAGTTGCAGGATGTTATTTTCATACGTGTCAGAAGTCTTGCCAATAACAGAAAATTACATAAGCTGTTGAAATATTGGTGCTTTCTAAGAACCAGTAGCAGGAGTGACTTTCTGAGATCAAAAAAGGCATTACAGATTAGTAATGTTACATATGGAATTTAGGGTCCGCAGTGTCCGCGCGGTCTGAGACGTGGACCTTGTGCCACTTGGTAGGCCTTGCGACGGGCCGATCCCTCGTCCAAGGAGTCCTACCGAATGTCAATAGATCAAGCCAACGAAAAGTTGGGACCCGCAGTGCTCAGGCACTTGAAGAACGGGTTGTCCAAGTATCCAAGTACATATGGAATTTCAAGTTGTAAATTATGGGAACATGTTGGGAATGGATGGAAGAATTCTTTTGATATCCAGTTAGATTGATTGGAACAGTTTCCAGTTAGGTGCTCTTTCCCAACATATTCGACCTTTTACCAGGTGCAACACATTTTGGCAGGATTGAAAACAAAATGTGTGAACATAAGTCAGTATACATTTTGAATTAGAATGTTGGGTTGAATGTTGGATCCTCATAGAAGATTTATTGTTAAAAGTAATTTGCATAAAACCAGTATTTAAACCACACACTGTTTAGATTTGGCGAGATGAAAAATTTCTAATAAAATTGCAGAACGTAATGTTTTCACCTTGGCAAGGAATATTATTCAAATTTTAAACCTTGAACTCAGAACCACAAAATTATGCTAGTACTTTTGACATTTAAAATTTGGAGTTGAATTATGTATGGAGTCAGTGATGTAATAAGTATATAATGTTACAATGCCAATGGTCATAGTTAAGCTATATAAGTACAGTAAAACCTTGGCCAGATTTGTTTATGATTCTATTTAATGATGGTACTTTGTTCTGGGTAACAAACATTTCACAGTAAGTACCCATTGTACTGTTCTGTGACAAAAGCAAATACAGTAATGTCATGGCTGACAAGTTGTAGCCTGCTAGTGTGTGTCGCAGTATGCATGCCAACTACACGTAGTTAAATTGTTCATATGCTGTTAAGACCATTGGGCACCCTAGAGTGCAAAGAAGATTTTCAAGTAGGGAAATGGATCTCCTGAGGCAGTGGGCTAGTATCAGATTTTGCCAGTGACTGAAAAATTTTGCAATGTAAATGTTTTGGAAGGTGTATAGCAAATGAAGTGGTGCTTTCAAATTTACCATACTCTTTCAGAATTTTAGTGTGAGTTATTGATCTTTCTGTGGATGAAGTCTGACTGAAAAGTAGTTGGTAATAGTAGCATTGTGTCTCACAAATTCCAACATACACAAGAGAGAATAGAATTTTATGACAATTAAGCAGCATATATTAAAGTAATTTCCCTATACATTCTTGTTTTTAATTTCCATTTCTGCATTAAACAGCGTCTGTTTATTAGGGGTAATTTTATATTGTTTTACAGTACCTTCTCAGGACCAGAAAGCATTTTCAGTGAAGACAGATCTTGCTTAATCCAGATTCTTCTTTAGACAGGTTTTACTGTAGTTGTCAAAAATAGATTGCTGTCTAAGCAGTGCTTATTTTGTGTAATATTTTGTACAATGTCATTCCAAACATTTAAAAAGCCACTCTGTTACATGCCAATATTAGTACTTAGGGGAGAGGAGGTATAGCTTCTACTCATTCTTAACCTATAAGGGGGTGAGTGGTCAGTACCACGCCCTGGCCATGCTTTATCCCAAGGAAAGGACCTGGGTGCCCATTGGACAGGAGACTGGGTGGGCCACAGAGCTGGTCTGGATTCAGAGGCTAGAAGAAAATCTTCCTCTTGTCAGGGATCAAACCCTGTTTTCCCTGTCTATAGCCAGAACACTGACAGAGCTACCTGGCTCACACTCTAAATATTTGGTACAATTAATCTGTATCATTGTCATCCTCGGTGGACAAGTGGTTAGCGTGCTTGCCACTGGACCCACGGTTCGCAGGTTCAGACTTGATTGAGGTCGATGGATTTTTAAGGGTGATAAAAATCCGTAACATAACTTCCTTCTGAGGGGAAGTAAAGCCAGCGGTCCCATGTCATAGATTTATGGCATGTAAAAGAACCTTACGAGCATGATATGAGATGTTTTGTAAGCAAAATTCAGTGGCCATTTCTCACCCAAGTCTTGCCTGATTTACTGCTAGATGGCTCCAGCAGACAAATCAGGATTGAGTAGAAATTGTGCGGGGGCAGTGGGCTGGTCACACGCTACTCATAAATGCACACTTTAAAGACAAAGAAACCTCCCACATGGGAGGAGGCCAAGGCTCGACTTTGGGCTGTTGCACCATAGAAGAAGAAAAATCTTTATCATTGTGACAGGAACACATAAAAGGCTGAATTTAAAGTTTAGTATGTGAAATTAATGGCTTCACTGAGAAATCAGTAAAGATGACAAAAGAGCCTACTGAATAGGAAGTGGTACTTAGAACAGTTGGATTCAAGTCAACAATATTGGGCTGGAAAGAGTAATTGTCGTTTAACATGAAATCTAATTTCTTTTCACCTGGCAGAATGCAATATTACATTCTAAAAGTGTCTGTAGGAAAGCAATTTAATCTGCACATTACAGAAATGTCAGAGCATTATAAATTTCAATCCTCTAAAGATGTTGTTCTCAATTACACATGATTTACATCTTTTATAGGGGTGTTCATCACCACTAGTGGTGAAATTTGCTGACACACAGAAGGAGAAGGATCAGAAACGACTGCAGCAGATGCAAGCGAACCTGTGGAACCTTGCAGGAGTTAATATGGGGCCACAGTACCTGGCAGTAAGTACTGTGATCAATTTGAAGATTAACGACTTAATATGAACTGTAAATAAGTGGTTCTGTTTTTATAGTGAGGACAATTTTAAGAATACTGTTTGGAAATAAGTAACAAACTTTCTAGAAATAATGTACTTCTGTTGGAATTATCTTTATTTCAGCTCCTTTTTTTTACTGTGCCTAATGTATTAGAACTGGGGCCCCTTTCACACATTGTGGCCTTTGTTCGTGTAATCTTCTCGCCAAAACAAATGATTTTATTCTTGGCACTGATCTTCTATTGTGCTTAGTTTCAGAGCTACAGAAACAATCCTCAATGAAATTCTAACCCTGGGATACCTTTTCGAAATTTTGACCTTTCCTGGCTTAAAGGCATAGCATATATATATATATATATCCAGAAAGAGTTCAGATTTTGTCAGATATATATATGTGTGTTCGTTTTAAGAGATGGAATTACTATACATACTAGTTTGTTAACACTTCTGTATGTTGGGCAGTGTAATCTGTTGTAAGTTTTTTCAGTTATAATACATTTTGGCATGAAATGAATGCATAATGGAGAAGGTCCACGCATACATCCGCACATTTCAAAAAAGTACCAAATGAATTGTAATTAAATTGGTATTGAGGGTCTATACTAAAAGTTGTCAGGTCACTTTAGTTATATTTTATATTGGATGAATATAATCAATTTTTTACATGAGACTCGGGTCAAACTTATTGGCCCTGTGAATTGTGATGTGCTCATGTCCAGTATGATCAGATTTGCAACAACAGATTTGTATGCAGAAAATAATCAGCAAGGCATATAAAACACACAATATACATTTTAAAAATATGTATTCTCCAAACTGAGGTACAAGTTAGTAACAATTTTAGTAATTGAGTAGGAGTTCTTGAGGAAATATTGGTCTGAAAGGAGCGGATGTGGTATGCTCTCTCTGTTCTTGGTCACGTATGTGCTGCAGGGAGATTCTCACTCTTGCCTTGCACCTACATCATTGCAGCTACTGCAACAGATTCAAGCGTCGCAGAGTGCAGCGGCAGCAGCTGGTGCAACAGCAAATGGGCAGCCAACCAGTGCAAGTTTGTCAGCGCTGAGCACAATGCAGCAGCAACTTCTGGTACAGCAGCAGCTTCAGGCCGCTCAGAACTCAGCAGGTCTGTGTGAGTGATCCTCCATTTAACTCCTGAATGGATGACTTTAAATTTCCTATTTGTTGAAGATGGCTGTCTTCTAGGTTGTTGTGCTTGTAATCTGGTAGAGTTTACTGACATTTCGGAGCTGCTTGATACCTACATCATAAGGGCTATGATGATGCACCAAGAACTTCTGAATCATTGTTAAACATCTACCAGACCACATGGTACAACAACGCACACTAAAGAAAGCCATCCTGTTTACTGCTCTGAGAACCTGAAATCTCACTTCCTGTTTGTTATTCACAAGTTATTTGAAGGATTTAATTTTCTTCAGTGAGTCTTCTGACCCATAGATTTTACATGTGACACCTCCCCACATGCAAGTATTTTTGTTTGAATTTCAAAATTGACAGAGTCTGTCTGACATTAGCCAAAAACATTATCGTTTTATAGAACATGACAGAACACCCCCCCCGAGATTCATATGTGTTAATATACAACAAACCTGTCTGTCTAATTTTATAAATTTTAGGTTTTTATTTCATATTTTGAGGTCATTGGAGTTAGTTTGACATGAGACCTAATATTTGTGTCTGCAAATCTAAACATCATATGAATCCTCATGTTCACATAACAGTAGCTGTGAATATTGATATCAAAGTCATTCAGTCATAAGCTGCCCAAATATATACTACACTCATACAACTGGGTGCACTGAAAATAACAATATTACACATATTTACTAATTTTTACTTATTTAGGGTGTCCAATCAAATACTATGAAGATGCTAGGGAAGAATGAAAATTATATTAATCACCTGCAGGTATTATTTGTGGGACACTGGAATACAGCTTTATGTACATATTATATCTAATATTCCATCAGGATGTAATCTTAATTGACACATGACACTGTATGATGAACATAAATTGAAGGCAGTTGAGAAAAGAGAAATTTTTGGAGTATTTACATAAATGTTAAAAACAGAGAAATAGTAAAATAAAGGATGTAAAATATAAGTTTTCATGGCGATTTTAATGTGATGACAGTATGATGACTTTCGGGTAGTCAGCTGTGTCGGTAGAGTTGGTGATGAAAATGCCGTTTCACGATTAAAACTTAAATTTTGCATAAAACCGCGATGGAGAGCCTACAAAACTGGCCATCAACACAAAGACGGGCCTCGGATCCAGTGACCAGTATGCGACCCAATCAGGAAGACGGGCCGGCAGAGCCAGCACTGCACTCCACTTGGCTAGTAAGCAGTCAGGAAAACAAGGTTCGGGCAAGCACACAAGTCGCAGACTACTTCTACAACCACACCATTGCCCTGAGGCATTTTTAACACCAACTCTACCGACATGGCTGAATACCTGAAAGTCATCATATTGTCAAAATAAAGGATGATATCATGAATGTAACATGTGTATGCTTAGCACAGTTGGCCGTCAAACTTACTTTCGATGGCTTATATGATGCTCAGTAGGTGGTAT